CCTCCCTCCCTTCCTCCCATCCTCCCTCCCTCCCTCCCTCTCTCCCGCCCTCCCTCACTTCCTCCCTCCCTCCTGTTCTCCGCCCTCCTCTCTCTCCGCTCTCCCGCTCTCCCTCCCTTCCTCCCTCCCTCCCTCCTCCCTCTCTCCCTCCCTCCTCCCTCCTCGTTCCCTTCCCCCCTTCCTCCCTCCCGCCCTCCGCCCCTCCCTTCTTCCTCCTTGCAGCTCCCTCCCCCTTCCTCCCTTCTCCCTCTCTCATCCCTCCCTCCCTCCTCCCTCCCTCCTCCCTCCTCCCTCCCTCCTCCCTCCATCCTCCGTGCTTCCTCCCCCCTGCTCCCTCCTCCGTCCTCCTACCCTCCTCTCTCCCTTCCCCCCCGCCCTCCTCTCTCCTTCCTCGCCTCCTCCTCCTCCTCCCCGGGGGCCCGCGCGCCCGTGCTGGGGAGGGGCGGCGCGCCGAGTCGTAGCCGCACAGGCCGACCCCGCCGGGCGCCGGCCTCGCGGCCTGCCGGGCGCCCCCGCCCCGCCGCTCGCCCGGTTCGCCGCGCTCCGCCCGCGCCGTGGGGGCGCGCATGAGAGGGGCACTCCTCCGCACGCGGCAGGGGGCGCGCGCAGGGGGAGCACTCCTCCTCCTCCTCCTCCTCCTCCTCCTCCTCCTCCTCCTCCTCCTCCTCGCGGGAAGCTGCCTAGAAGCAGGCTGCTTCTTAGGAGGCCCAGACGGCGGGCGGTGGTGATGGCTACTGCATACGGCCGGGGCTGATGGGAGAGGGTAGTCGAGAGGACGCCGAGAACCTTCCGAGGGCCACATTGCCACAGGAATGTGAGAAGGCAGGGGTCGCGAAACACAGGACACAAGGGTGACTTTGATCTGACATGGTCGACCTTCTGACCGGTGAGGGCATTGGATCGAGAACCCTCGATACGGACATCAGGGTCTGAAAGCGGGAGGGGCACCATTTGAGGCTTGGCCATGGATATCACCGCCGTCCTCATCAGACGAGAAATCCTCCAGGCTCTGATCGCTTTTGGGCACATTCCTCCACGACCGCCCCGGAGTCCCGAGCGGAAACGCACGCGCCCCGACCACAGCGACGCCGACAAGTTTCAGGTCGGGCATGTCCTCCTACAGGGGGATTCTGGACGAACAAAAAAGTAATCAATCAATGTTCAAAAATAGTCCAATCGTCCCCAGACTATGTTTTAAACTATTGTTGAATTTTCCTCGTGTAGAGGGAGGCGCCCCACTGAAGACTAGTTACAGAGACGAGGCGCGCGGACTTTCCGTACCGCAGCACGGACTTGTGACGGGGCCATCCTGCGGCCGCGGTCGAGCAGCGCATCGTGGAAGGGTGCCGCAGCCTCCCGCGAGAGCACAGGGCCCCCACAAAAGAGCTCCAGCCAGACAAATCGGACTTGCACCCGTGTGCCAACGGTCGAGGCCTCCGAGATGTGGCCGGAGTAGACGTGGTCAGAGGATCGCGCCGCATCGCTTATGCATCGGCGACGCATCGCGGCTGCATCGGCGATGCACCGGCGATGCTTCGTGGACGTGGGCGATGCCCCGGCGCCATCGGCGTGGAACATATCGGGCGCCACATCGAGCCGCATCGTAGCTGCATTGGCGCTGCGGCGCGACTCTCCGAACCCATGGGCAGCGGTGGGTCGATGCATCCCCCTCTGAGCCCACTCCCAGGAGAGCCCAGAGTCGAATCGAGAAGTCGGATCGGCGATCGAAGTGAATAGGATCGGCGGACATCGGCAGCCGAGTCGGGAGAAGTCGAATCGGCAGAAATCGGCAAGCTAGTAGGCCTCCATTGATCAATCGAACTCCACATCGGAATCCGAAGTCGAATCGCATCGGAATCGACACCCATCGAAATCGAATCGGATCGAATCGAGGAAATCGATCCAAACATGCGACGTCCTGATTTTTCCAAGACGGCGTTCTCGGAAATCCCGACCCTTTCCCCGGGGCAATTTTTTCGTCCTGAGTCGTTTTTGGACAGTCCCGAGGCCCTGCGAGGGCCTCCCCGAGGCCAAAATTTGCCAAAACCCCCCCGTCCTGATTTTTCACGACGCGATCATGTCTGGGGAAGCGAGCCCTGCACGCCATAGTGGGCCCCGGAAACGGCAGGGCCGTTTTTCTACCGCTTCCCAAGGAAAGGTCTCTTGAAAATGACAAAACGGCGACTTGAAACGGCAGAAAAACGGCTCCAGGATTTGAACAGGAGCCGGAACTGGTAGAAAGCAGCGACGGAACCGGAAACAAAAACGGCACAACGGAACCAGCAACAGAAAACGGCACAACGGAACCGGTAAAGAAGAGCGGCCCCGTCGCTTCCAGGGCCCACTGAGCTGCACGCCCCCACAACGTGGCCCCCGAGAGGGGCAAGGGCGGCCGCCGCCGCACTGGCGGCCCCGTGTCGCTGCGCGCCCGTGGCTGGCCGGGGCGCGCCTGGGCCTCGTCGGCCTCCCCCGCCCCCGGCTGCCGCGCGGCCGCAGGGGCCTGGCGCCGGGGCCGGTGCCGCGCGGACCCAGGCCCTCAGCCCCAGACATGATCGCGGCGTTAAAAAATCAGGACGGGAATTTTTTGGCAAATTTCGGCGCCTCGGGGGGCCCTCGCCGGGCCTCGGGACCGTCCAAAAACGACTCATGGTGAAAAGCTGGCCCCGGGGAAAGGGTCTGGACTTCCGAGAACGCCGTCCTGAAAAAATCAGGACGTCGCATGTCTTCGGTGGCAACTCATGAGAGCCTCCCATGCCAGATTGTCGGCTCGTGGGAAGAGGGTAAATAGACGCTATAGACGGCGCTATCATCGACACTAAATCGACGCTGAATCGACCCTAATCGACGCTTTATCAGCGCATATCATCGGCTCCCAGACGTTACTAATCAGCGCTAGTCGACGCTAAGGACGGAATTGAGAGGGTATACCAAGCTCCCATGGGCTGCATCCGAACAGACCCCATGGAGTCGTGAACAGAATCCCGACGGGAGCTCTCCCATCGGATGCACGCAAGAGTGACCCTGGTTAGGAGTGACCTTGATAGGTCGCGGACTATAAGGGGTCGCAGGGTGGCCAAGTCCAAGCGCGCAAACAGCCACCATCGCCTCGCGCTCAGCGACCGGGGGGGCCCAGGTGAGCGCGCACCGAAGCTCACCCTGGCAAAGGGTCACTCTTACCTGTAGTCGTAGGTCGAGCATGTCCCCCTACAGGCGGATTCTGAGCGAAAGAGATACAACACAGGTCAAACAGTTTTCAAACATAGTCAAAAATAGTCAAACATAGTCCCCTGCTGACTATTTTGTTTTACTATTTTTGAACATTCCTTCTGTAGAGGGACAGGCCCGACGTAACTGCAGTCGATTCCACTACTTTCAGACTCTGGGGGCCCTCACCAACCATGAGCTAGCTCGTGCTCTGCGTGTCCGCGGCGCTGGCTCCGGCGACACCCACTAGACCATGCCCTGCGAACGCGGGGCGTGCCGCCCTGGCCTGCAGGGCGGGAGGCTGGGAGACGCTGGGGACGTGAGCGCCAAGCGCCGGGACGTGGTTCGAATGTCGCGTTGTGTCGGGCATGTGCTCCTACAGGCGGATTTTGGAAGAAAAATTAAACACATGCAGCCAAATGCCCAACAATAAGCAAACATAGACAGAAGAGATCGTCCCCAGACTAGTTTTTTTACGATGTTTGAATCCTCCTCCCGTCGAGGGGCATGCCCGATGTGAATGTCGGGGCCGAAGCGCGACGGGGGAGGGCGCCCAAACGCGCTCGCGCCATGGAGGAATCACGACGGGAGGCCTTTGGCGGCCACGTCGGGCCTCCAGGGGCCCGCGACCCGGGCCCTGGGGCCGGCAGGGAACGGCACGGGGTGAAACACACCGCCCCTGGGGCAGAGATTGAAGTTTCCAAGGGGGGGGCCGCGCTGGAAAACCAATAAGTGACACGTGTGGGCACGCGTTACGGAAACTTCCTCCTCCTCCTCCTCCTCCTCCACCTCCTCCGCGATTTGAGCGGTCATGCGGCGCGGTGCCTGCTTGGCGACTCTTCCGCGGCGGGTCTACCGGAGTGCGGCGGGGGGCCGAGGGCAGAGGCGTGTGGTTGCCCCCGGACGTCTCCTGCAGCTGCTGTTCTGCGACGGGCGGGACGGGGCGCTCGGAGGCCTCGCTGCAGGAGCGCAAGCTGGCCAAACGTCGGTGCATGGGTTCGAAGTTCGACGTTCGTGGTTTCCGGGCGTTCTCGTAGTTTCTTAACGGTTTGCCGCCCTCGGGGTGCGTTCCAGCGGCGCGCTTCGCCGCGAACGTTCTGGGGATGCCCAGATCGTCCCGAACGGCCGCCGGACACCCGAGGTATATACCCGAAAACTGAACTCGGCGGCGAGAAATGGGGGGAAGCGATAAAGAAAAAACCTTCTCAGAAGGCGGGCGGGGTTTCTCAGACGCCCTCCGGCCTTCTGAAAACGTTTCCCATGGCTTAGAGAACTTCTCGGAAGGCCCGGGGATTTCCGAACCTTATGAGAAGACCCGCCCCTTTTCCTTCCCCCCCACAGCGCGCCGCCGAATCATGACAGATTTGCATTTTGTTGGCCCCTGGGGTTCCTGCTGGGCCCCAGAGCTTCAAACATCTGCGGTGGACAAAGTTTGAAGGGGGTTGGGAGGCCCAACCATACGCTTCGCCTACGGCGAAGCCCATATCCAACTCTGTTGTACCGTAGTAGCGATAGGCCCAGAAGTAGAAGATCGTCGCGGGAGCGACGGGCCATGCGAAGATGTGTTCGGTCTCGATGGTAAGTAGTGTGCATTGCGATGAAGCGCAGTCATATGTTGGCGGCCGGCCGCTGAAGCAAAAACAGCCGCGGACAAACGCTCGTTATCTCTCGCCTTTGTCCCAGCCTCCTTTAGGGTCGTGGGGGAGGAGACGAAGCGTGAGTCCGCCACCCGCTATACAGCAAAACGCTAAATACACAAGGTAAGCAGCAGCAGGCGGGCTCAACAAGGAAGGTTGACCCGCACGCAAATACCCTTGCAAGCAAGTTGCCTCGCTAACAGGTCACCTTGCAGACGATTGCTCCTCAGGCGGCTCAGACGATCTTGTCTGGCCAGCCCTGTATGGAATGTATCGTTTTAAGTCATGCTTGAAGGACTGCGTTCCTCCCATGACCTGTAGGAGCATGTCTTTGTCGATGCTCCCTTTGGTGTGGCCGTCCGCGGTCATGCCGCGAGTGTCACACCACTGCACACAATGCACGATACCCTTGTGGACCGCTGCGGGAACGCTGCCGACATGGGGGTCGAACCGCATGCGCACCCTGCCCATGGTGTCGTCGGTGGATTTCCTATGGGCCGGGACAGGGACAGGCAGAGGGCAGAGGCAGGGATGAAAAGAGGGAGGCAGGGGAGGAGAGGAGCGGCAGTGAGGTGACGCGGGGCGTTGTCTCTTCAAAACAAGGACCCAACACTGCAGGATGGTAAGGAAAAGCATGAACCGGACTCGGCCCAAAGCAGGGGCCACCTTTCTTCGAAGGTAGTTCAACGCAGTTCTGAGCAATGCACAGCCATGCAAACCACAGAATTGCTCGGCATTGCTTGGCGTTTCTTGAAATCGTTGGCATCTTGACATCATTTGACATTGCTTTGGATTGCTCGGCGTTGCAGGGTGTTGTTTGGCACTGTTTGGCGTTACCAGGCATTTGCTTCGCATTGCTTGCCATTGCTTGGCGTGGGCTGGCATGTCTTGGAATTGCTTGGGTCTGATCTGGTTGGGAACTCTTGACATGGCTCTGCTCTGCTTCGCGCTGCTTGGCCCTGCGTGGCGCTGCTGAGCACTGCTTGGGTCTGCTCGGCATGGCGCAGCCAGACAACCCGGGCATTCCCCGGCGATGCCAGCCAGGCAACCCGGGCATTCCCCGGCGATGCCCCGAGGAGCACGGGGGGCAACCCGAGGAACCCCGGGGGGGCGCCTCCGACAAGCGCGGCCACACCCACTGGTGCCTGTCGGGCCCCATGGGCAAAGCCTAGTTTCTGAGTGAACAGATCCCAGACATGCGATGTCCAGATTTTGCTCCCTACGGGGGCCCGGTAAGTCCCGACTCTCTCATCGTGGACGGTGCTTCGTCCCGAGTCGTTCTGGACGGTCCCAGGGGGCCCGGCGAGGGACCCCCGCAGGCCGAAGGCGTCAAAACAAGGACCTCCCGTCCGGATTTTTGTCAGGACGCGAGCAGGTCTAGGCAAGCGCGTTCCGCGGCTCGCAGAGTCACTGCTCGCGAATGGCCAGCATCCGCCGCAGGGATGTACGGCAGATGACATCGAGGCGGACGTGGCTTCTCGGACGTCTTCGAGTGGGCACTTTGCGAGTAGCGGAGCTCGCTCGGCGAGTGTCTTTGGGCATCCGCACGTGGCGGTCCGCGCGGAGCCTTCGAGTCCGCGCTGGACGCCCCTCGCCCCGCGCGCGGAGCGCGCCAGGGGCGGCGCCAGAGGAGCCTGCGAGCGGGCGGCGCGCGCCAAGGGAGTCCGGAGTGGCACGAAGCGGGCGGCCACCGGAGCTTGTGGATGACACGACAACGGACACCCGAACAGTCCGATCATTGAATTTTAAGTATGCTTAAACTTCCGGAAAATGTTCTAACCATGTTTTAAGCATGTGTTTTACATGTTTGAAACATGGTTTAGACATCTGGAAATTGTTTGGCAACATGCCCCGTCTCCATCGATCGTCCTCCGCAAGCCCATGCAGACTGGGAGGCTCCCTAGACGGCAGGGTAGGGGCCTCCTTGTCCGGCGAGCGCCAACACGGATCAGGGCTCCGTGGACCTGGCGCGTGGGCGCCAGGTAATCAAGCGCGAGGCCAGTACTGCCCAACTTGGTGGGCGGAGCGCGCCGGTTCTTGCACGGAAGCGGGTCCCGTGGCAAAGCCATGCGTCGCTGAGCCTCGTTTTTCTGCTCCTCGACCTCAGAAGGGCCCACGAGCTCCTGCGACGCCGCCCTCTCCCCTCTTCCCACTGGCCATCGCTGGGACGTCCATTTCCTGTGTTTTTTTCGGTTTCGCGCGTGGTTTTTTCGCCAAGTGATCAAGGATGCTCCTCGATGGTCCTCGCCGAAAGAAAAATGCACACGTCCGAGCGATGCCAAGTCCCAGACCCCCCTTGAGTTATGAAAACAGCACGGCGGGAGGCTGTTCCCGATGATCTTCGGCCCCTGGGGGCCCTTACCTGGCCTCGGAACCGCCAACAAGAGGACTCGGGATGAAACCCAGGCCTGGGCATCGAGTAGAAGAAGAAGAAGAAGAAGAAGAAGAAGAAGAAGAAGAAACAACGCCATTAACATAAACTTCTGGCGCTCCAAATTATGTTGTTGCTTTTCTCTTCTTCGATTGCCTGGCCTCGGGGCCGCCCACAGAACGACTCCCGATGAAAACCTGGCCCGTGCATTGGGGTTTGAGACCTTTGGGGGTCGACGCCGGGAACAAAAATCGGGGGCGCGCAAAATGGATTAGCGATCCATGGATT